AGAGAGAGAGAGAGAGAGAGAGAGAGAGAGAGAGAGAGAGAGAGAGAGAGAGAGAGAGAAACATGAAAGAAAAATCAGACGCCAGCGAGTGTTGCTGTGCGCCACGGGGTCCACTTGTTACGTTTTAATTTATCGTGGAATGATACCAAAAATGCCTTCCATTCATGTCTGCTTTTGGCAATTTTGCGTCCCTGTTCCTATGTATACATTTTGGGGGCCACCCTTCCACAATATTCATTTCTTTGTCAGTCCCTCAGACACATATTCCCAACGTGCACTAGGCAATGCTGTATTTATTTCGGACACATGCAAACTTTTTTACTACCGGTTCTGAAGCCATACATCCTAAGAATACCCAACGCCGCCTTCTCCTTATGGTTAGTTTATTTTCCCTACTCCTCGTTTTGTGTGACTGAAGTGGTGCTGGTCCACCTTCCTTTTCTGTGCAAAAGAATTGCTCCTCATCATTGTCATTCACTGTTACTCTGGCATTTCCAAACTCGATAACAATCATGGTCCAGGTCAGCTGTCCTTTTTCCAAATTCCTTCCCTTCGCTTGCTTCACCTTCTTGATTTCCTAATTTTCTTCCCCAGCTGAAACAAGGGTTCCTTATTTGTCTGGCCTTACTTACCTATTATGCTCGAATGCAGGTCAGATAACTGCCTCAGACCATCCATTACTGCCCTCAGACATCACCTTGAACTGTGTGGTTTCCTGTTACATTTTTTATCCCACACCTGCCCTTATCCTCCCTCTCCCACTGAACTTCTCATCGACCATACTCTTTTTTCACACGGGCGAGCCACGCGGACACTTCTTGTTTACCACATAATGAACACAGTATGATACACATTAATAGGTACATTCGCCTCGGTTAACGATTTTTACCAAGGTTTTCCACCCCAGGCAACAACCTCTTGCAGGACCTCCACCGCCACCCTCAGAGGCCAACTGCGATCATCAGCATATGACGCAGTCGCTCAATAGCTTCCCACCACCCTTGTCCACCATCTGCTTAGCGAATGAGGAGTCATCATCATCTGTCTTCAAGATGTGCAGAAGATTTCCGACAGATCTCTTCCTTTTCAACCGCCAACTGCGATCACATTCCTGTCAGCATATGACGCCGCTGCTCACTTCCTGGCGACCCCCTTATCCACCATCTGCTAGCGAACCAGGAGACATCATCACCTGTCTTTACGATGTGCTGAAGATTTCCGGCAGATTTCTTGCCTTTCAACCGCCAACTGCGATCACATTCCTGTCAGCATATGATGCAGCTGCTCACTTCCTGCCGAACCCCCTTGTCAGCCATCTGCTTAGCGAACGAGGAGACATCATCATCTGTCTTCACGATTTGCCGAAGATTTCCACCGGATCTCTACCCTTTCAACTGCTTGCTGTCATTCTCAGCCCAAAACAAGAAGGACAAATCCATCTGTAAAAGTTGTCAGCCAGTCAATTCCTCCAGCGAGCTGTAATTCTCAACCCATAAAAAACGAAGACGAAAAAAAGGCCAAAGTTGTCAGCCAGTTTTCGATTTGTACAGTATATCATCAGTTAAAGTCTGACAAAACAGTAGGTCACAGCCCCCCATTTCTTGTCCTTCACTCCATTTCGCTGTGCAGCTCTCTGTGACAACGTATATATAGTACAAATTAAGTACAAAAGGTATCGGCAAGCCTTTCACCACTGATGATTGGTGCACTTTGTACTCCGCCAAGTCTGCCCCCAACCAAAAGAATGTGCAACTCCTTACTAGTCCTTCGACGTCATAATCTGAGATCATACCGTCCACCCTCCATGCCTCAGAAGAGGTCCATCCAATCCATAAGCCAAGTGGCACAGAACGCCTACCTACCGATGGCATCCGATGTGGGNTCATACCGTCCACCCTCCATGCCTCAGAAGAGGTCCATCCAATCCATAAGCCAAGTGGCACAGAACGCCTACCTACCGATGGCATCCGATGTGGGGCTCTGCAGTCAGAGAATCAGCCATCAAATCTACGCCGAGTCTATGGACATCGTGTTCACGTCCACAGCTCCCAACAAACCGTTTTCAAAGTCCACTGCATCAAGGGTAACCACCACCCCCTTCCCCCACCAACCAGGGCTTCAAAAGAGGGTGAGTGCATAACGGCATGCAACATTTTGTACTTCCAGTTCAGTGGTAGTTCGAACTGCAGTCAACCAAAGAGCGAACCAGAGAACCTGACTAAGACTCGGCGACATGCTCACTTTCAGACTCAGGGAATCAAAGAGCTGTTTGCGACTTCATCACGCCCACACGCACGAGAGAGAGGGGGGGATCCATAACCAGAGACTGATGAAGGATGAGCATCCCATGATGTGTGGCTGGAAAAACTTCAGGATGAATAACCAACCACCTTCAACCGACAACCTTTTGCGTTTTGAAGAGATGGCAATCCTCTTATTCACTGTCAAACCACAAGCCGCCTTCATCTCCACCACCTGTTGAGTAGTCGGCTCATCCCACAAGTCCTCCACTTCTCTATGACTTCGCCATAGGATCACAACAGGACAACCCAGAAGGCAGAGCTGTCTGTTTTTCCACGTGCTCTCACTCTCTCTCTCTCTCTCTCTCTCTCTCTCTCTC